ATACCCTTTTTTCATGTTTAAATGTGTATCCCTTTATTCGGATGCACAATAAGCATATAAATATTTACAAGTTAATCTATTTTGAAGTTTGTGGAACAATGATGTCCTATTGAGTTGAGATTCTCTGGACAAATTTGATTGTAGGATAACTACCTTTTTTCACCGCAATTATGGTTTTCTTATAGGTATGGAAGGATGTTGACAGTGTCTTGACCTGTGATCCTAATATAAACCCACATGCAGAACACGTCCCCTATTTGACATTTGGAGAGGCAGCTGAACTTGCTTACTGTGGTGCTAAGGTGTCAAATTACCATTGGTACTTTTTTTTTTCTTTCATTTACAAAACCACCTATTATTCCCTTTGGCTTGTATTTTTTGGATTCTGGACATCTCCCTCCCGCATTCCTCTTCCTACCTTCTATTTGTCTTCCTGAAAGAAACCCTTTCTCTTTTGGCCCAAACTTGACTAGGGTGCATTCGGCCTACTGTTACGTAATTGTTTAAACCTGGCAAAATAACTGAAGTTGAATATGATATTGCTCTTCTACAGGTCCTGCATCCACTATCCATGAGACCAGCTAGGGAGGGTGATATTCCTGTCAAGGTTAAGAATTCTTACAACCCTACTGCACCAGGAACTCTTATCACAAGAGATAGAGATATGAGTAAGGTTTGTAATAGCTGATTGTTTGCATAATGCAATGTAGAGGAATCCACTCTACATTAATGGTTCTTTTCCTCATGACAGTCAGTGCTTACTAGCATTGTTTTGAAAAGGAATGTTACAATGTTGGATATTGTCAGTACTCGCATGCTTGGTCAGTATGGCTTCCTTGCAAAGGTCAGAAAGGGCGTATTCTAGTCCTGCCTCTAAAAAGTCTAAGACGTTTGAATTTTGAAGTTTTATTTCACTTCAATAACATCTGCAGGTTGGTCTTTGCATTTTTTGCTTTCTAGAGAAAAGATATTCACATGATTCCTTTTCCTTGCTTTTTATTGTCTACAGTCATAGGAGCTATAATATTTTTGAGGGATTGAAATAAGTCTGAACATAAATACTGCTTCTATGTTCAGCACTTCTCAACATGACTTCCCATTGTTGTTTGTCAAGTATTCATGAATATTTTTTTATCATTGTATTTGAATTTTACAGCAAGTTGCCTCTTGGCTTCTTCTTTTTATTTATTATTTATTTTTTTTTTTTGGGTTTTGTACCCATTATATATATTAATGTGTTTTTGCCTCATTTTTCTCCTTTCAGTTTCAGTAGGCTCCCTAAACAGATTTAAAGTTTTGCTAGAATTTCTGCACATGCTGTTTAGCCAAATGATACATTGGGATGATGAGCATAGCTAATATTTCAACTTTTTTGCATTTGGCCATTTTAAACAAAGTTGTCAATACCGTACTTAAATACATACCGATTTTGCTATTAGAACAGTATATATCAAACATCAGAATTTTTCGCATATCGTTTTGGATTTATTGTTATAAATATATATTTTTATAATTAAATATCAAAATTTAAAATAATGAGAAGATATATTAATATTTAAAACTATCATATTCTTATAAATTGAAAACAAATTTAAAATGATCAACTTTATAAAACATCTATCATTTTTTTTCTTTTTTTTTGAATATTAAGATAATATAAAAAAGCATAACAGTATTCTGAATTTAATATTATATAATTCACAATACAAAATACTTCCACAAGGGAAGAAATTATATCTTCTAAGTATAACAAGAATGCAAAAGACAAATCAAAACATTATTGAGAAGAGAGAGCAACAATCGGTGAGTACTGAGAACTAAAACCCTAAATTTGAAATTATCAAAAGGAAATAAAAATACACATTTTTAGTTCCTCAACTTATAATGTATGTATATTTTTCGTTTTTCTACTTTAAGTTAAGGGACTAAAAAAATATATATTTAGACAAACTCAACGAAGTAATTGATAGAAAAACTAAAAAAATATATTTTTCATAGTTGATGAACTAAAAAAGTAGATAAAAAAGTTAAATGATGAAAATTATACAAAATATTAAAGTTGAAGACCAAAACTGAAATTTACCCTTTTTAAATTTGAATTGATTTTTACCCATCTTTTTTTGGTGTACCAATCGTTACACCGAAATATTAGTCAGTACATCAAAATTTGATCAAAATAAACAAAATTTGACCAAAATGAAATTGAATCTTGTATTGTTTCATTTTAATGAAAAAATTGATACATTAAATTGGTACGTACCAACCGGTATAGTACGGTATCAATAACATTGATTTTAATCTTCTTGCACCTTTTTTAATATTTATAATTAATTTTTTCCTTCAAGCATATGAAGTATGGCTGGGTGAAGGATATGATAGTTTGTAATATCAAGCTTATTTGGAAAAATTAGACTGTTACGAAGGAGATTTCTTCTTAACAAAGATGATTACTAAAAACTTTCAAAAGATATTTTAAAATTATGTTATCCAAAATCCTTTGATTCAATGCTTTAGGAGGATTAGTATTTAAGGGGTTAATATGATTTTTGGTTTTTTATCTCATGTGTGATAATAGAATTTACATTTTGTATGCTATAATTCTTCTAGTGTTTTAACATGATAATCCAACCATGTATGGTTCTTGATTTATTTCTAAAAGTTATAATTAATTTTAGTTTTGCACCCTAATTTTTTATTAAAAAAATATATCTTATCCATTTAGTAATAGTATTGTTAAATAATTATCTATGAATGTGGAGGACATTACCATAAAAACTAGAATGTGAAAGAGATTACAAGAGTTTTTTTCTTACACTTTATAGGCTGTCAATTTGGGATTGGGAGTAGTTAGTATTGTTAAC